AAAAAAATTCAGTTTCTTCAGGTCTCCCAAGGAGAAACTGAGTCAAAGAGTTCTAGTGACCAGATACCTTTTCCCTGGGTATCTGTCCCATTGTGTCTGCACAATGGGTGGGAGTGGGGTGGATAAGTCATCCCTCAGTTCTGGTGGTCTGAAACTGTATAAGTCATATTGGAAAAGGCCACAGTATGGCTGTTTGAGGTAGGAGGTGGGTGGCAGAGGCTACCTGAAAACCCTCACCTCAACATCTGGGCATGGCCAACCTGCCTCCGGAGTTGGATCCAGAGGCCCCGGTTTGCCTCTGACAGTTCCAAGGTCTTGGAGCTTAGTGATTCAGTAAAAGCAGCTCTCTTTCTTTGCATGTTTGAAGCCACCCCCAGAGATGTTACAAGATAGGGATCAGTGCCTTCTGCACTAGGGCCAACCACGGGCATTGCACCCCAGCCCACGCCCTGCAAGCAAGGTCTGTGCACAGAATCATGACTTCCCCAGTCTGTTTACCCCGAGTCCCTTCCACACTTCCTTCTCTCCCTCTTCTCCCCTTCTTTCCCTCTGCTTAACTTTCCTCAAAGGCTTTGAGGGGCCTATGTTGGCCTTAGCATGTTTTAGGGCCCTCCACCATCTGACATCCCTACCCCTTCCCATTTCTGGCTTCCCCTCCTGTACTGTGTCTTCTGGGCAGGCTCACTTTTTCTGGTGCGAGTCCGTGTGTGTGGATGGCTACTTTAAAATATTGTGGTTGGGCCGGCCTGTGGCTCACTTGGGAGAGTGTGGTGCTGATGACACCAAGGCTATGGGTTCGGATCCCATATAGGGATGGCCGGTTTGCTCACTTGGTGAGTGTGGTGCTGACAACACCAAGTCAAGGGTTAAGATCCCCTGACCGGTCATCTTTTAAGAAAAAAAAAAAAATTAAAAAAATTAAATAAATAAATTGTGGTAAAATATACATAAAATTTACCGTCTTATTTATTTTTAAGTGTACAGTTCATAGTGTTAAGTAATTCCCATTGTAGTACAACCGATCTCCACAACTCTTTTCATCTTGCAAAACTGAAACTCTAGACTCATTAGACAACAACTGCCCCTGGCAACCTCCATTCCACTTTCTGCCTCTTGGAATTTACGTTGAGACACCACATGTAAGCGGAATCACACGGTATTTGTCTTCTTGCCCTGGCTTATTTCACTTAGCACAATGTCCTGGGGGGCGCTCACTTTTGCCCCAGGCCAGGCCTGCCCTTTCTCACCTCCCTACCCCTGCTGGTACTGATTCCTCTGCCGAAACCGCCCGGCTAGGCCTGGTGCAACCTTACTCATCCTGCAGACTGGCTAAAAGCCTCCAGCCTGCCATGTGGATTAGTAACTCCCTCCTCAATCACACTCCACTTTCCTCTTCTGTCTCAAATGGTGACTTGCACACACCCAACTAAATGTTTTTGTGCCCAGGACAGAACTGGGCAAGGGATGGGTGGCTGGGGGGTGGTTAAAGCATCATGGAATGAATGAATAAATGGATGAATGGATGAATAGAAGGATAAATGAATTGATGAACAAACCTGACAGGTTCTGCTTGTGCAGAAAAGATTAAGAAACCTTTTTTTTTTTTGTCTATTTTCATCTGGATTCCATCTGTGAGAAGCAAAGATCATTCTGGGCTTTTGAGTCAAACTTGGACTTCAGAGATGCATCCTGGTGCCTCAGTGGGCAAGCTGGTGCCCAGGAGGGAGTGCAGCAGCATGAAGGGTAAGTGGAAGGGCAGGAGGCTGGGGCTCCGGATGCACAGGCTTCTCTGTGCCTGGCCTCAATTCTGCAGAGATAGTCTGAAAACCTCAATGAATGTTAGCGGGATGGCACTCCCATTTTACAGATGGAAAAACTGAGCTCAGGGGTGCACAGCAGGACCAAATCCCTGTTCCCTTCCCAGGATTCTCTACTTCTATCTGCCTCCTTGATTCAGCCTCCTGCAGGTTTGAACTCCAGGTGAAGCTGTCCCTAGGCGGCAGGGCCTGGCTTCCCCAGAAGGAGTCAAGAAGTGGTAGGGGTAGGGGTGGGG